TTTTTAATGTTCACACTGTATTATTAATACAGGGTTACTGCAGGTTTCATCAACTCAAATTTAAGACTTTTTGAGACCATTATAAACTAAATTTAGGAATGCACATAAGAGATAAATTTATACCTCCCCATGATGAGCTTGCTAGTTAGCAAGGGCGTATATATTGACAGCTAGTTACTGATAGCCACAACCACCTTGAGTCACGGAGCACAATGAAAATGTGTGCAGGTAACTCAAACTTAACCTGACAGAAAATTAGTGCAAGAAAAAAAAAATACATAGAATATAACAGATTAAACAGTCCTGCCACAACACATTAAATGACTTTAAGACATTTTAAGGCCTTAATTTAGGTGCATGAATTTAAGACTTTTTAAAGGTGTGCACTCATCCTGGAATAGGATCTTTCCTCCATCCTGACTGTAAAATGTTTCCTGCTGATTCGTACCTGGCCTCAAAGCCCATGTCGAGCAGCCGGTCAGCTTCATCCAGAACCAGAACATCCAGGCTCCTGACTGCGCTGGCCAGTTCCAGCCCTCTGACTTCCTCCTGAACATGCCTCCAGGCGGCCCGGCGTCGCAATCACAATGTTGCCGCTGAAAAAAAAGTGAAACGAACGTTACAGCACGACAATCGCTTTCTAACATGTTCCCAACTAACACTGAGGACTACAGCGCTAATCTTAAACATTAATTCAGCTAATACTAAAAGTGCTATAACAAGGTGGTATTTAGCAATAGCTAATGCTAAAGTGGCTTAACAGGATATTTAGCAGAAGTTATTGCTAAAAATGTCTGTCAAGATTTAGGAGAACCTAATGCAGTATAACAAGAGGGTATTTAGCACAAGCTAATGCTAAAGTGGTAAAAGAAGATGGTATTTAGCACAAGCTAATGCTAAGCAGTAAAACAAGATGGTATTTAGCACAAGCTAATGCTAAAGCAGTAAAACAAGATGGTATTTAGCACAAGCTAATGCTGAAGCAGTAAAACAAGATGGTATTTAGCACAAGCTAAAGCACTACAATAAGATGGTATGTCGTGGAAGCTAATGCAGTAAATGCTGTTACCCGATGTGTGTTACAACACAGACTATTGCTCTCAACAATGAGCGATAGTGGACACGCAGGTAAGTGGCTATCATGACACCTACCTGTATGGTTGCTCTTGAGAAAGTGATTCTTTGGAACAAATGTTTTCAATGTTAGCAAAAAACTCTAAGGAGCTAAACAAAACATCAGGTCCCTATTAGTGGATTAATTGTGTTGCCACCACTGGGATACAGCTTTCATTTTTCTTATAAAAATTTAAAATATTTGCCCTCGGTTACTTATTAAAATGAAAACTTTACTCAGAAGTTTTGTTCAAATGATGAAGTCTAACAGAAGAAAGTGATACACCATTAAAAACAGAGGAAGTCTATTTATTGCCAGCTTTTCATCCAGTTAAAGTCGGACTGAAATCCGTCGCGTACCCATGCTCTTTAAACTTCTCCACGTCTTCTGCCGGGTTGCTGCCACCAATCAGCAAAATCTGCCTGAGAACCAAAAGTTGAAATTAATAATAATAATAAAAAAAAAATGCCTGTAGTTAAATCTGCCAGCTCAGTTTGAAACAATTCCAATCTACAATATTTGACTCTGTGGAGTTTTTTTTAATTTTTATATACAGATACTCACGTGAAACTCTGGAAACTTCTGGATAAACATTCCCATCACTTCACTGATCTGCAGGGCCAGTTCTCGTGTGGGAGTGATCACCAGAGCACCGACCTGCACAAAACACCTGAACTTTTCAGCGGATCCGACACAACAGCAAACCTCCCAGCATCCAAAAAAGATAAATAACAATACTGCAGAGACTAAAGTAGCCGTGTTTTTTTGCTTCGGTGTCATGGTTACCTGTTTCTTCTTGAGTTTCTCTCGCGCTTCAGCAGCAGCTCTATAACAGGAATGACGAAAGCCAAAGTCTTCCCACTGCCGGTGACCTGAAGCAAAACAGCAAACGCCTTAAGAAACTACCGGTTGTCATGGCAGCACAACTTCCTGATCTTTTCCAAATAACTGTCTTTGCATAATTTTGATAATTACAACACCTCTATATCCTCAGTTTTGACCATCTATCATATTTAATATCTACTGTTGGATCCAGAATATTGATTCAGCCGCCAGCAGAGGGAGCCAAATCACGTTAAACACACAGAGCAACTTCAAGCATCTCTTGAACGTTTCATATTTTGTCATGTGACCATAAACCTTTATAAATTTCATTCAGATTTCGGTTAGATAAAAAAAGTCCATCATTCTGAATTTTTGCAGCTGAAAATCTGATAAGTGTGGCATGCACTTATTCACCCTGCTTGAGTTAAAACTTTGTAGGACTTTGAAGAACAATAGCAACTGCAAGCCCTTTAGAGGATGAACCTGTCAGCTCTGCACATGTGCAAACTGAATTCTTCTGTCCGATTGGATACAGAGCGTCTACCAACAGGCCTGTTCCAACTTTTTGTCCTAATAAGAAAGTGATTCAAATGACCACTACTGCTGTGAGTTTATCATCATCATCATCATCATCATCATCATCATCATCATCACAGCGCTCCTTCATCAGATATACTTCCATTCATGACAGAGACATCGCAGATGTTTGGTACCTTGTACTTATTCATTTGTCATTTTTGTAACAACTCGCTCAACACATTCGACGTCTCCTGGATCACGTTAGCTTGGATTTCTTCGTGACCCAGAATCAACGTGTCAGTAAATCCTACTGGTTCAGTTCTAGTTCTTGCTCCGTCTCGGCCTCTTTAAACAACTGTTCACACTCACCGCCTCAGCAGCAACGTCTTTATTGTTCATGAACAGCGGAATACAAGCCGACTACAACGAAAAGAGATCCATCAGTCAGACAGGTGGAGATTCAGGGCAGCATGGATTGAAACAAGGATTTAAGGCTAATGAAAGTTACCTGTACAGGTGTCATGAAGGTAAATTTCATTTCCTCAAGCGTTTGTAAAATCTTCTCGTTTAGTTGGACAGGTAAAGTGTCCCATGTTCCGTCTGTAATGTTCTCCATGTTGGGAAGTAAATCGAGAAGACGTAGCAGCAGAATGCTAACGCTGTTAGCACATGGTCAGCCTTTCTGCACGATGGACCTTCTTCCGCTGCGTTCCGTAGTTGTTTACACGCCGGGGAGAAACTGAAGCCGACTCGCATGTTTTGGTTCCGCTTTCCACTCCGTTTGTTCTGTCTTCTTCTTTTGTGTTTTATTGGCAAATGGCAACCAACTTAAGGTGACTTTACCGCCACCTACCGGACTGGAGTGTTGTCATCAACGATACAGAGGGAATTTAACAATACGCACCTCAATGGTGTGTAGAAGTGTGCAAATTCATACACACACGCGCGCGCATACACACATAACCCCCCACACACTTTTAAAAACGATTAAATAACCTAATAGTTTTTTTAAATCTAATTAATTGATTTCTTATAGATTTTGATTCGTTTCCTAAAATATTTATCAGAAAATCCCTTCTTCTCTCTTGTATTGACTTTAAATGCTGACGTCCCTCTGAATATTTATTACATTCTAATTAGACCTGTCCCACTGCCTCCATCTGACTGCAATAATCACAAGTCCTCGTTTCATGTTTCTCTTTTCAAAAAGAGAACTATTAAGTCCTGCATGCCCAGTTCTAAATTGTGACATGAATTCTTCTTCTTTCCAACTTCCCCATTTGTTGTTCTTCTTCTTCTACATTCTTACTTTTATTTGGTTTTCATGCAAGCATTTAACTTCCACATCAAGGCTGCTGTTACATGAGAACCACTGTTTTCTAGTAAATTTTCAAGTCATACTCAATATTTTTAATAATTGTAATATTAAAATTATTTTTTTCTTCAATGACTCCAAATCAGAGTGAAGCTGTTCATTTTTATTGAATTTGAACCTTTTGATATTATTTTTGCTTTTTTGTTGTTGTTAAAATGTAGTATTTTTCTTCTATAGCTTCTGGGTCATGTGACCCATTTACACTGAATCAGCATGAAATTGTTCTAGGGGGAGTCACAGGAAATAACAGAAATAATAGAAAAACAGAGTTTCTTTTATTTTAACCCACAGATTATAAATGACAAAAAGATAAACTCAGCTCATAAAAGAGGTCAAAGAACCTCTTTAGTATCTTCCCCATTTTAGGTCTTCTTGCATTTTTGATGTTAATTTTGCCAATCATATTTGGTTTTTAGTAGCTCACCTGTCCTACTGACAAGGACTAAAATGTTTCAATGGAATAAAAGCAGGTGAGCCTCATCTTCAAAGTCTAGTAGAACAATTTCACACTGATTTAGTGCAAATGGGTCACATGACCCAGAAGCCAAAGAAAAATACTACATTTTAACAAAAAGATGCTAAAATATCAAAAAGGTTCAAAGGCAATAAAAACGAGTGCACTTCATCTCACGAGTTAAGAACCGTTTCACACTGATTTTGAGTCAATAAGGCACATGACTCGGAAGCTATTGAAGAAAAAAACAACACTTTTTAATATAACAATTATTAAAAATATTGGGTATGACTAAAAATTCACTAGAGAACAGAGGGTCTTGTGTAACAACATGAATTCTGTGTCAGTTGGTCACAAGGCAAGAAATATTTACTATTTCTATTTGTTTCTTTGGAGTGTTTGGTTCGGAAATTTGTTGAACCTCTGAGTGCATGATGTAGCTGACGCGTGACTGTCGTCCGTCTGATATGATATATATATATCATATCAGATATATGATATATCAGCAGCAGTTATTTGCATGCATCAAATAACTGCTGCATGCATAATAACTGCTGCTGATATATCATATATTATATCAGATATATATCAGCATGCATATAACTGCTGCTGATAACAGCTGAGGACTGAAAAATGGAAGGTCTGACACACACACACACACACACTTTAAGTTTACCAGATGCCACTTGCAGCACCTGAGAAGAGTTTAAAAACTGACACACAGCCTGTTTAAAATGATCAAATTGGTGAAAAAAAGCAGAACTTGTGACTTTTGTTTGGTTGTGTGTGCATGCAGTGGTTTATGTGAACATTTAGTGGTTTCGTGCCCACTGCAGGCTCAGAAGATAACAGTCTGCAGTAGAGTCTTGACGTGCTGACTTCTCTGTCTCTCAAAAACATTTGATTCATAAAAATAAAACACAAGAGCTTCTCCACACAAATGGGGACCACTTGGTTTGCAATTTGGAGTGTTTGGATCTTCTTGCGGCAGGTATAAAGTTTTCTCTCCTTTAATTTTAACACTTCTCCATTTCTTGTTTTTTTTAAGTGTCTCTGTTATTTTGTGTTTTATAGGTGACAGTTAAAAGTAGTAAACATGTATGACATGCACAAAACAACGTTATTTACTATTGTTTTGTTATTGAAAAATGTTACATTTCCATCAATGTAAGAAACCTAACTATTGAGGCATCACAGCTCGGACAGTTTCGCTACGTCTGGGTCTCAAACTGCGTTCCTCCAGGGCCGGTTTCCTTCACCTCTGCTTCAACACACCTGGCTCAAACATGCACTCATCAGCAGAACTTTGTAGAGCTGGACTGAATGCTAATGAGGCAGTTTGACCATTTAATTAAAGAATGTAGTACAAGGAACAAATGTAAAAGTTGCAGGGTTCTGGCCCTTTCTAAATGCAATTTGAAACAATCTGCTTAGTGCAGGACAGATCTTAACATGCTCTTATTAATGACATTGATTTTAGGGCGTATGAAATCAAACTGGAGTGAAAAAATTTTCAGCTCAAAATTTGCATATTGCATGATACTTCACTATTTTCTGTTGAACATTTTAACAGACAAATTGATCTACAAAACAATATTTATTACATTGTTGAAAAGTGGCGCAGTTGGTAGCACTGTTGCCTTGAAGCAAGAAAGTCCTGGGTTCGATTCCCGGCCTGGGATCTTTCTGCACAGAGTTTGCAGAAAGACGTGACTGTCGGGTAAATTGGTCTCTCTAAATTCTCCCGAGGTGTGTGTGTGTGTGTTTGTCCTGTTTATTTCTGCGTTGCTGTATCTCGCCTCTCACCAGCAACTCCCGGCCTCATTAGGGACAGAAAATGGATGGATGGAGTGAAAAATGTGAAATTTCCAACAATGTATAAAACTGTTGAGACCATACAATAGAAATTAGCCGTTAAAATAAACATATTTCTTCTCCTCTTCTAGACTGCAGCTGCAGAGGAATCACCATCTCAGCCTGGATTTGAGTCAGAGATGTTAATATTAAAAGTGAGCAAAAAAGCCTTGGAAACTGGCACAGACAATCATCATATTGGAGACAGTGTGAGTGTCTTTTCTTTCATTTTTTATTTTTACATCATGTGACACACACATTTAATGAATATTAGCCAAACAAACAGACAATATAGTGGACTAAAAAGCAGCGTTGTGAACTGTTTCTCATCATCATAGTAACAGATTATGAGATTATTTTGATACTCGTCTTCAGGGGCCCTTGAGGGCCAGATTGCACCCTGGTTTCATCATTCACCAGACCTTCACAGGTCGGTTCAGTCATTTACAGACAGAATATTTGTTTCCTTAGGATCCAGCTGGTCCTCAGATCCCCGTCCTGGATTTCACTAAATCCAGTCCAGGACTGAAGAGGAGGAAGAGAGACTGGGTTATCCCTCCCTTGAACATTCCTGAGAATCATAGAGGACCTTATCCTTTGCTTATTCATGAGGTAACAGGAACAAAAATGTTATACAGTTTTTTTAAGATGTCAGAAACATTTCCTGCAGTGTATTTTCCTCTTTATTTATATCATATGTTTGTAATGTGCAATTACAAACTTTCTACATTTCATTTTGTGTTTAGTAAACTGAATTTGGCTCCAAAGTGAAAAAAAAAGTGTTTCTGGCCTGTATCTTTTATACCAGAAATAACATAGAATAAATGCTTCAACTAAAACATCTCTTAAGTTTAAGTTAATCAAAAGACATTTTGTATCCCACAATAATTTTCTCCTCACTGAACAGTTTTTGCTAATTGTTGTCTTTGAAGTTGTCTCTATTCAACCCTGATTTTTGTTGTCCAGATACGCTCTGATGCAGACAATGTGAGGAGGCTCTATTATAGCATCACCGTCCTGGAGCAGATCAGCCTCCTATTGGTCTTTTCACCATGGACAGAGACACTGGTCGTCTGTATGTCACACAGGAACTGGACAGAGAGAAACAGGACAAGTACCTGGTCAGTGTTTTCTCTGCTATCTGTTGGGTGCCTCATCCACACCAGTCCTGTTTCGCCACCGTAATAGAACTAGAAAGTCCAGCTGGTTTGGGATTGAGTGAATGTGCAGTCAAACTCTGATGCAGACCAAAAAAAAAAAGGAGAAATCAAGAGCCCAGAAACCTCAGACTCAGTTCTGATGAAGTGAACTCTGGTACAGTTTGAATTCACATGTGAATGCCAACCGGACCGGAGGCCTCTTAAAAAACATGAAGCAGAGTGTAGCGCAGAGTATTCTGGGTAAACACAACTAAAATAGTTGAAACTAGTAATAGTTATTTTTTGAAATCATCATCAAATAGTTTCATTATTTGGTTCATGTATTAGAAGATCTTTTGCCAAAAACAAAATAGAAATCCTCCAAGCATTAAAACTGACGCTGCTCCATTTTTGTGAAGAAGGAAGTTGAGCTCAGCGTCTTCTTCAGAGGTTTTTATGTTGACTGTAAAGAGGATTCAGTAACTCAATCTGTCACAGAATACTTCACTGTAATTATTGAAAACTTTTTAGAATATTAAGTAATTTTAAAACCTACACAGAAATGTATTCAGTAAAAACCAAATTATTTTTCATCATTATGAAAGAAGAGAGACACAAATAATTGTTCTGGTGATTAAAAAATGGCATCATGTTACAGCTCACAGTCCATGTTACTGCAGAGGAAGGTGCAACTGCAGAGGAGCCAATGGAAATTGAAATCAATGTAATTGACCAGAATGACAACAAACCTGTTTTCAGTCAGTCCATCTATGAGGGAGAAGTTCCAGAGGCGTCACAAAGAGGTAAAGTCACACACATTAACGTCTTTGTTCACATGTGTAGATATAAGTGCATTAATGTAATCTTATTTAAAATCACAAATATTTGCAACTTTTAGCCTTTGTGACCTGAATCAGCTGCAGACCGAGGAGGAAACTGAGGCTGAATGACCTCCTCAGTCTGCAGTCACGTTCTCGGTCTTTGTTCAGCAGATGAACTCGTTGTGCCTCAGCCACAAGGAGACCGTTTCAGATTTATCCGCAAGTTTTTTGTTTTATTCTGTTGTCCACACGGATTCGGCTTTTTGAGAGACCAGAAGAGATCATTTCTGAAAGAGGGTTCCAGAGTGGATCGGTTTCATATTTCAGTGTATACATGTGAGCTGAGACTTTTTTTTTTTTTTTAACTATGACTGCTGAAGGGCTGCACAGTGGCGCAGTTGCCTTGCAGCAACACGGTCTTGTGTTCGATTCCCGGCCCGGGGTCTTTCTGCAGGGAGTTTGCATGTTCTCCCTGTGCATGCTGGGTTCTCTCCGGGTTCTCCGGCTTCCTCCCACAGTCCAAAAACATGACTGTCAGGTTAATTGGTCTTCCCAAATTCTCCCTAGGTGTGAGTGTGTGTGTGCATGGTTGTTTGTCTCTCTGTGTTGCCCTGTGACAGACTGGTGACCTGTCCAGGGTGAACCCCGCTTCTCGCCCGGAACGCAGCTGGAGAGGCACCAGCACCTCCCGACCCCGATAGGGAGAAGGGTGACGGAAAATGGATGGATGGGTTGCTGTAGTTCTCTTTGGATCCCACAATGAGCTCACTTTTATGAGTAACATGGTGACGTTCAGTGTTCTTTTTTTTGTCGTTCTGTGACAGTGTTAGAGCGCCACCGATTGGCTTGGCATACACTCTATGGTGTATGCTACACACTTTTTCTCTCTCTCTCTCTCTTTTTTTTTTTTTTTTTACAAAACTTCTCACACTGATTGTGGCAAGCAACAAGATAGTTGGCAGTTGGACAGAGGTCTTGGTTCTGGTTCTGGTCTGCATACCCAGAACCAAACATGGAGAAGCAGCATTCAGCTTCTATGCAACACAAATCTGGAACAAACTTCCAGAAAACTGCAAAACAGCTGAAACACTGAGTTCCTTTAAATCGAAGACAATTTATTTAGAGATAAATATTCATTAATGTGCAATTTTAGCCTTTCCAACTTTTCTTTGTTTTCCCGCATTATATCACTGAAGTGTATTTTTTATCTAAACCATGTAAAGCTCTTTGAATTGTCTTGTAGCTGAATTGTGCTACAAAGCTAATCCTGCCTCACCTATCAAACTCAGCAACAATTTAAATACAAATAGAAAATCTGCCATCATCTCAGTTGATGTCACTGTGATGACTTTTAGTGATTTGTCAAAATTTAGAAAGACCTTTGACCTGAGTTTTAATGGAACTTGGAATCATCAGCTAGACAAGAAGAGCTTCTCAGCTCAGCCTCATTGTTAAATCTCTGTTGATAAACTGATGTCTCTGCTCTCACTGACCTGCTTCGTGTTTCCTCTTGATTAGGTTTTAAGGTGATTCAGGTCGTGGCCACCGATGCTGATGCACCAAATACTGACAACTCTGATATCAGGTACTTTATAATGAGCCAGAGCCCAGAGCAGCCCAGTCCCAACATGTTTACCATCAACCCATCAACTGGAGACATCATAGTTAAAGAAGTTGGACTGGACAGAGAGGTGGGAATTCAGTTAATCAATGAATCAATCAACTACATCTGTATAGCACATTTCAAAGACTGTTAGGGTAGTCTGAGTGTCTCACTAAGTCCTCACGGTCAGATTTCCTGTTGATAACATGGAGCTTTACATTTTGGTCGGAATTCAACCTTCATGTGGAGAATAATTTAATTCACTAAATAAGTTTGAGGCAAGTTTTATAAAACTCACTTCAGATTATTTCTCCCAACATGTGATGCAGTGATCAGCCAACTGATCCATCAAAGTTCTGCTCTGGACTTAACAATTTGTCGCTCGGAGGCAAAGTTGTTGATTCAAGTCCATGTTTGTTACAACAGAAAATCCCTCGATACAAACTGAAAGTAAAGGCAGCCGACATGAAAGGAGAAGGTAATACTGGATTTGCCGAAGTGATCATCAAGGTGACGGACAGCAACAATCACGCTCCGGTCTTTACAGAACCTTCTGTAAGTAACACGTGACTACTTTTATTAATCTGCTGATTATATTTAAATCTGTTTATCAGAATCGATTTGTGCAGTAGGTGACCAGTAAAGCAGTAGATCACCCTGAATGCTATTGGCGTGTCCATGAAATGAAAAACAAATCACAAACTGATAATCGATGATCATACAATGACTGTGTGGAACTTTTTCTGGTGACGTCTGCATCTTGTGTCTCAGTACACGGCCACAGTTAAAGAGAATGAAGTAGACGCTCTAGTTGTTAAGCTGTCGGTGACAGACGGGGATGAGCCTCATACTGCAGCCTGGAAGGCAAAGTTCAGCATTATTGATGGAGATCCACAAAACCTTTTTACTGTGGAAACAGGAACAAACAACAGGAAGGAATCATCACTACTGCTAAGGTAGGACGACCAGCAGGTTCTCACTGCTGGAGCATAAATAATAAATGTGATTCTTTATTGCACTGTTTTTAATAAAGGGACATTTTTATAAACATAGCATAGTTAAGTGATTGTACTGCTAATGTCTGATCAGTTGATCTGAGATGATTTTTCTTTTACTAAACCAGAGTCTGGACTTTGAGAGATCCAGTAAGCACACTCTACTGGTCAGAGTGGTGAACGAGGCTCCTTTTGCTCTTGTTTCATTGGTCACTTCCACTGCCACAGTGGTGGTGACTGTGTTGGATGTCAACGAGCATCCCATCTTTGAACCAGTAGAGCGGCGTGTGTCTAAAAGGGAGGATCTTGCCGTGAACAGCGTTGTGGTGAGGTACACAGCTTCTTTGACTTTGCGTTCAAACAAAGGGTCAGGTAAGAAAATCCTCCAACTTGAAGAGTCACTGCATAAATTACCTTTCATTTATGCTGTACTTCTGAACCAAGTTTGTTTTCCCACTGGTAATTAATCAGGCAGGAAACATTACTATAGATGGATGTGTTTTTGTTTTGTCATACTGCTTATAAAGTCTGGCTTTGTCTTATCATTTATATACATTTATATACAGCTTTATATACATTTTTGTTCTTGATGTCCAGGTATAAAATACTCAATGACCCAGCTGACTGGCTTGGCATTGATCATGAGACTGGTGTGATAACAGTGAGAAACCAGATGGACAGAGAATCCAGCTTTGTTAAGGAAGACAAATACACAGCTCTGATTGGTGCTTATGATGATGGTGGGTGTGACCGTTAACGGTCTTCATGGTTTTGGAAGAACTCTTCATAAATCATGGTGGAAGTTAAAAGGAATTTAATTTAATGGTTTGAGCTAAATTTCAATTCAGTTCAAATTCAAAAATTAGAGAGATGTTGGAGTTGGGGATATAAACCCTGCAGCCTTGACTCAGTAAAACACATCACACTGTATTACCTATTCCCTTTCCGAGTCCTTGTCAGGGCTTGAAGCTCATCCACTTCGGCCTCCTTTTCAACTCCTCTGGGATTTCTGGCTTCAGCTATG